CCAGGTTATTTATATTTGTTTGTCAATACTTATATTGATGAATTCATTCTAGAGATAATTTCTAAGTGAAACCAGTAAGTTGCTAAGTTTCGTTTGTTGGTTTTCATCATTCCTTTACGTAGGCCATCTGTTTTGCAAACAAAGCATTCTGCAGATGACATGTTTCCTGATATGATGTTTGGTGAAGTTTTCCAGCTTCAGATGCTGAAGCTTCTTTCTCTTTAAGTTAATGCAGTTCCAAAACATTTTCCAGATTCCAGTCTGATCCACGCCGGAGCAGATAAAGATAGGATAACATCTGACATTTTTGGAATCTAAATTGATATTTACCACAACCTGCCTCCTTTAAAGTTGGTTTTTCTCATCTTTGTTGAAGAAAATGTAGTTCTTGGATCGCTGCGGACAAAAATTACTTGAACAAAATTGAAAGATCATCAATCTACTCAAAAACATTTGCTTGTGGAGGTAAATTAATTTTCTGAATAAGTTTGTCACATTTGCATTTTAACATAGAAATATTATTTAATATAACAAACCATTGGCTAGATTGCATTATATAAGTTTCATTTAATGTAGTTCAGGTGGGTAGCTGCGTCAGCATGCGTAGGCTGCAAAGGAACAAGTAATAGGTTTATTCAAAAATTATTGAATTAAACATTTAATGTATGCAGGATTGAGCTATTGCTCTATAGCAGGGGGTTCCAGTCCTGGTCTGGTATGTCTTTAGCACCAACACCTAAAGAGCAGGGAGTAGCTGCTAAACCAGTCCAATTAAGCCAACAATGAGCTGTTTAATGTTGTTACACATCCAACCAGACTGAAAACCTGTGGACACACCAGCACTCCAGGATCAGGATTAGAGATCCCTGCTTTAGAAAAGTGGCTCAAAAGACTAATGTATCTCTATTTCATTAAGACTCATAAGAATTTGGGTGGTACAGTATAATGGACATGTTATAGTGATAAATGCAAAGAGCTGTTTGTGCCTCTTTATACACAGGGTTTAGCTCTGTATGTTAGTATCAATGCTGAATCAGTTCACAATGGGGTTCACACCCATGAATAAGGAGAGGTGTGAGCCCCAGTAGCTGATTCAGTGTTAAATCTTGTTGAGACATTGCTAAAACTTTTGATGATACGTCCAAGGGATTGGACTCCTGCAGACGTTACTTAGTTGACAATGTTTGATAATCTCTTGTATCTAGGCATCATGTAATTAGGTGCCCATTAAGAGATGATGAGACAGAAAATGTGCAGCAGCCACTTACTAAGCAGGGCAAAGAGGGAAAGAATGGAATTCTGCTTGCTAAATGTCTTTAATGACACAGTGACAAATGGGCTGAAATGTCCTGCAACAATCTTATCAACCAAGAAGTTCAATTAAAGAAATTAGTTAGTCTCAGTCATTAAGATCTCAGCTGGAACAAAACCCAGAGATTCCAATGGAGCAGTAGAACATTTGAGCCACCAGTTGTTAGGAGAAATGAGTGTGTAACGGCATCCCATTCTTATTACAATGAAGCATAGTTTTAATATCAAAGTGTATTAGTCTCAACAATTTTGGTAGACAATGTTACTGGAGATGGAGAGTGACTGCATATGCAAAAATACAGTACAATGTGATTTTGGGGGGCTCATGTTGAATTAAGCAGGTCAGGGTTATCTCTGGCAGGATATGAACCAGTGACCGTGTGACCATGGGGTGTTGGTGTTATCTGCACAGTAACAGACACAGAGACACACTTCTTGAGCAGGGCGATCTATAGACAGCCTGTCATCAGGCCACACGTTCTGCCAGAGCTTATTCAGTTAACAGCTGTAGAAGAGGTTTTGAACAAAGAGTACCAGTAAAGTAGAATCCAAAATAGTAAGCAAACAAGCTGTAGAGTAACAAACCAACCCTGGATGGTGTCCAGCAATGTAGGACACATTCCCTAGCAGTGTAATCCTTTGGTATAAATCATAACTGTTTAATGATATTCCTACAACTCTTATCAGCTAGGATGTCATTTTTGTATTTCTTTTGTAGCTCAAATACCAAGAAATATAATTTTCTCATAGTCAGCATGGATACCATCTCCGACTGGAAAGTACCAGACTTTTCCTACAGAATAGTCTCTGCTTGTCCGTGGATGAAATACTGTAAATGGGGTTTCCAGTCTTGGTCCTGGTGGACCACAGCTTGCTGGCTTTCCTCCCATCACAGCTTAATTACCTAACTGAACCTTTAATTGAATTAACAAGCTGCTCAATGGGAATTATTGGATTCCACTTCTTTTCTACTCAAACGTTTGGGATTGTATTTAAGATGTGCAATAGTTAAACAGCAGCCCCCAACATACTGAAGGGCTGAAAATTGGAATTAACCATGCTATTAAGTCAATTAAGTGTAAGCGAGAGTCTGGCTGGAATGACAAATGAGCAGGTTTTGGGAAGCTCTGTGTTTATGGGAGATTGCAATTGACAAGCAGTGGCTTTGGTAGAAAGCATTTCTCCGGCAGTTCTGCTTCAAAACTAAAAGAGCTTTAATTAAAATTATTAACAACAGTTAGCTTTTTTATAGCACTCTTAATCTCGATGAACTCTTAAGTGCTTTCCATATAAAATTGGCCGTCTTCTGTCACCACTAAAATGCAGCACCAATCTACTGTAGGTAACCCGTGGCAGTCATGATGAGCCAATGTCCCTAGTCCACAGCAGATGAGATGGAGAAGAAAGAGCTTACTTCACCAGCTGAACATTACTGTGGGAATTGTAGAAAAGGCCAGCCTGTGCAAGCTCAGAGTGGCATCTAGCCAGGACATTTTACCAACAGTGCTGTGTGATTTCTGATGATTCACCATTCTGTTTGTATATGGTATATTAGAAATTCCACTCAAGAGGCAAGAGTGCCACCTACTATTCCATCACTACCACTATTCCTTAAAGGTCACCTATATGATGTGGTTACATGATGGTAAAAGTCACTCATATGCTCTAGGGGTAGAGATATCAATTAAATATACTCCCCCAACCATCAATTATAATGTTTCATCTCACAGTTAAATGTTTTTTTTGTAAATCCTGGGGTTGGTATCATGAAAGAAAATGTTCCTGACAAATGTTTGGGAATGTCTATTTTCTTAACTGAGGCATAACAAACAATTAACTGGCTGATCTAGAGAGGACAGTAGTCTGGAGATCCCAGAAGGATGCAAGAACAAAGCAAAATATTTACAGAAATACCTTTTCTTAATGTCTTATTTTAAGTTATGCATAGGTCTGAATGGTAAAATACCCTTTATAGAAACACTGTGCATAGAGACTGAATAAAGAATAAAATATCATTTATTTTTCATCACTGTAATCCCAGGATTCGGTAGTATCTTTGCATCCCTAAACAGATCTTTCTGCTCTTTTCTCAAATACTCTTAGACACCGATGTCCAGGTGTAATGGCAGTCCAGTGGGATGAATATAAGAGGATCGTAGATTATTGAAATCTTTGCACTCCAGATGTCAGGATATTTCAAGAAAATGAGAATTATAGGTCTAACATGTTAATTGTAAACTACAGTACTGGACGGATATAGTCTCAAAACCATCCTCCCAGTCCAAATCTTCCCCACTTTTTGCTGTCACCCACAGAGATTTCTACAGGTGTCTCAGATTACTGTTTGAACCCAGGTATATATTTCATGTTAATTCATTTGTCGTCTTCAGACAGCTGCCTTCAAAACTAGACAATCCAAGGAGAGCCAGTCTTGTGTGTCTTTGATCCCTTGGTGAAATGTGAAGGAAAAAAAGAGGCTATTTTTGTGCAGTGCTGTAAAGTGGTCGGCCTGCTGACAGAGGGTGGTAAGGCAGATGATTGTGAGGTATCACTCAGGCTTAGCTGCAGCCCTGACCTCTGGCCTGGAGGTGGAAAGGCTAATCCAGTTGAATGAGTCGGTATCTATTTGCCTCTCCTCTCTACCATCGCTGTCTGAAAGCTGGGACTTTCTGAATTAGCCAGGGGAAGTCAATTCTCTGACCTGACAATATACCAGCTATTTGCAATGTTAATATCTGTACAGCATTATATTTTCAGACTATTATTTTTAAAATGACATTTATATTTCTGCTATTTAGTAATTTATGTAAGTATTTTATCATATTAGTATTTCATATACTGTAATGAAGGCAGCACTGTGATGCAGTGGTTATTACTGCCTTGCAGTGCTGGTGTCCTGGGTTCAATTCTGAATCTGGGGTGCTATCTGTTTGGAGTTTGTATGTTCTCCCTGTGTTTACATGTGTTTTCTCTGGGTGCTCCAGTTTCCTCCAGCAGTCCAAACACATGCTAGTAGGTTAATTGTCTGTGTCCGTCCTGCAATGGACTGGTGTCCCATCCAGGGTGTATCCTGCCTTGTGCCCACTGCTTGCACCCCTACAGCCTTGTATCGGATAAGGTGCATAGAAAATGGATACTGTAATGAGTCTGCTTGTGTAACTAAGTTATCCTCGTATCCTAGACAACTGTCTTGAATAATGAACATACACCAGTTTAATTTAATTATTGCTCTTTGTGAAGCATCACAGCCATTTCACAGAGAACAGACAAGTATCAAACCAGGTTGTCCTGGTCTTGAGAGCCCACAGGGGTGAAGAGTTTCTAGTTGACTCATTACACGCTATGACCTCCATTATTAAAGGCGTTTTTCATGATCAATCAGTATGAAAAGGAAAGCGGTGAAGCAAATCAGTCTAAATGGGTGAACATCCAGAATAACCACAGATAGATATATCACAGTAAACTTTCTGAAGAACGCCATGGACAAGCAAAGTGGGCTGTTGATTGGAAATATTGTCTGACACTGTGCTGTCTGTTTCATGGAAAGTGCACAGTGAAGTGAAGTGAAGGGAATCTTGCTAGCCCAGCAGTGCTGAGCTGTTCCCTGCAGGAGTCCGTGTGCTCCTGGAGCTTGAGCAGTGGCCCCCTGTGCTTCCTGCCTCTGTAACCCCCCTGCCTGTCCCCCCCAGGTACCTGGCCAAGCTCTCCTCAGTGGGCAGCATCTCGGAGGAGGAGACCTGCGAGAAGCTGAAGGGGCTGATCCAGAGGCAGGTGCAGATCTGCAAGCGCAACGTGGAGGTGATGGACTCAGTGCGGAGAGGGGCGCAGCTGGCCATTGACGAGTGCCAGTACCAGTTCAGGAACCGGCGCTGGAACTGCTCCACCCTGGACACTCTGCCTGTTTTCGGGAAGGTGGTCACGCAGGGTAAGAGATAGCTCCTTCCCACCGCCTCATGCACACACACCCACATCCGGTCAAACTACAACGCAGCGTTCATATTTCCCACTTATGGAAGAAGTGTGATTCAAAAATCCTTCCGCCTGAAATAGAAAGACACAGCAGAGCTCTTTGAGACTGTGGCCACCTGTAACCACTGTTCTTGATGTCTTGATTGTTCAGTCTTCCGCTGATGAGATCTGATTAATCATCCTGATTAGCACAAGAATTTGTAAAACTCGCATGGCAGTGAGACTACAAGAGCAGGCCAGAGGAGCCCTGTTATAGATTGCTTTGATCTCTTTTACATTTTTGTAGCTTATACCTCAGGTCTGGATGAAAAAGTGAATCCCATTCGCACCCCATCTAAACACACACAGTCCTGCCTGCCCCCTTCCCATGCAGGCAGAGACAGGGAACACTGGGAGCTCAGAGTTATTAGCTGTCCCTTTGGGCCTGTCTGATTCCCAGACATGGCCCCGGGCTCACACTCCGTCTGGGCTGCAACAGGTACCTGAGAGGCAGGCCAGAATCCTGTCTGGACAGGGATATCTACTCTCACTCAGTCTTGTTGGGAAGGCAGTCTGGAGTATCAGGATACCCCCTGCTGGTGCAAATGGGAAAAATGCACTTGGTAAAGGGAGGGAACTGATTCAACATGTCTGGGAATAATCTAGCGCACATGTCAGCGCTATACACTGCACAGGCATGATCTGAGGGTGCTGTCGTTTCAAATCGCAGGCTGGGGTGAATTTTTGTTCGTTAAAGACATTCATGGCAATAATGTGAAATTGCTTCACCTGTTTGATCATTATTTCACTTTTTGGTAAGGAGCTCTACCCTTCCAGCCATATTGTTTGATCTGTTTCTGTTTATTTTATTTCGAACATACCTGTGATTGTGTGAGGACTGTGATTCTCGAGAAGCCTTGATGTGCCAATATAATGTATCCCAAATGTGTCCTGTACAAGTACAGGATATGTTATATCCAGCAGTTTGTGTAGCGAGATTGGGATATGGTTAGATTCTGCCGGCCGGGACGCTGGACCCGCGGGTGCGAGAGTGCCGCTCGGGACTGACGCTGCCTTCCGTTCCAGGGACCCGGGAGGCCGCCTTCGTGTACGCCATCTCCTCGGCGGGCGTGGCCTTCGCCGTGACCCGGGCCTGCAGCAGCGGGGAGCTGGAGAAGTGCGGGTGCGACCGCACTGTCCACGGCGTGAGCCCGGAGGGTACGAGCAGGCCGCCGGGGAGGGGGGGGGGGATTGTGTGGGTCCTAATGCCCATGGCCTCCTAATAATCCCCATCTATGAATTGGCTTCATCACTCTGTGCGCTACGGCTGCCATCGCATCATCCAGGTGGGGCTGGACACCGGAGGTGATGGAGGGGAGTCCCCATTACCTGTAAAGTGCTTTGAGTTGAATGTCCAGAAAAGCACTACATACGTGTAAGGAATTATTGTTATAGTACTGCACAAAGTCCTATATCATTTATTGTTACACTGTAAAGATAACATAAACTGCATGAGAAGACATGTATTCTGGTTTACATTCTGCATAAGAGCATCCTAGAATAATTCCAACCTTATATAGGTGCCACAGAAGGTTTGAAGAATGTAGAGATGGTCTGAAGAAAGGTACACAGAAGAAAGTCCACTTCAGTGTCAGCTAGATGTTGAACAAATAGGCTTTGTTGAAAGGCTTGCAAAGCTCTTAGGAACACATACTGAAAATGCAATGAAATTCCGGCAGGGTGTTTTTGTGATTAGGTCAGGGACATGCCTGCTGAGTCACTTTTCTTCACCCGGTGCAATTTGTTGACATGTTTCTATGTGCTTTGACACACTGGAGTTTTTCACCAGTTTTTCCCTGCCTCCAGGGTTCCTTAGGACAACAGCATGGTGACACTGACAAATACCAAGAAACTATCACGTTTTTTCTCACTAACTCCTGCAGTACCTCTATAATATTTTTGATGTCCAGAATTATGGCCACCATCATTTCTTATTCATTGATATCTCTTGATTGAAAGCACAGCACTCTCCCTGCTCCTTTTCTTAGAATTTCACAGCTGCTCTCTTTCTTTTAGTTCTTGTTGTAAGTGGGCTACAGCCTTGTTTTCTCTATGTTAGAGGACAAATGCAGCTAGATATGTCTTTGTGCTTAAAAGGATGGCCTCCTTTGTTGGTTGACTTTGGGGAAAAGAAGCTGGCTCTTGGGTTTTGTGTCGAACCCATTGAGGCACAATTGTGAGTTCCTGCCTTTCTATGCCAGTTATCACCTGACAAGATCACCAAACAGGTTTGCCCCACTCCAGGCTGGGGAAGGTCATGACTACAGCTCCCAATGTTACTGCTATCGCAGATACAGTCCCCGCTCACAGCAGTTTCAACAAGTGTCAGTGACACCCAAAACACAGATAAAGAGAACTGATGCACGTTAAAGACTCTTCCCAAGAACAGTGCCAGTGAAATATGCATCAAGGATGCTGGATCAGCAGCAATACATATTGCATGACAAGTGTCAGAGTAGCTGATATTGTAAGTGATAGACAAGCATACATAACAAATATACAAATAAGACCCAGTG